CAGAACATAAAATTCAAGATTAATTCTTAGGCATGCTAGTTCCACACAAATTTTGAAACATGTATGCTCTTCTGACCTGGGATAAAAAGACTATGGCTGATTCAACTAGTTGTTGCCTCTAGTCAATCAAATAACCAAGTTTTCAATCAATATTCACGCTTTTACTAAACTCTTTCAAACTTTTGCGCTCTTAAAATCCAGGATACAAGCATCAGAAGTACAAGAATTACCTTGCAGTGCTTGTTCGGCTCAACGCAGTGGCTCTCCTCTTGACAACAGCTGTTTTACCACTATAATAGAAGCCAGTCAAATCCAGTGCTTCCCTTGCTACAGCGCCCAAAACAGCTAAAACGTTGGCTGACTTGCTTTTGGAAAAGAAAAGAACGCAGCCAAAATGTCAGATTAAGGACACAAATCCCCTAAACTATGAAATTGACCTACAGGAGACATTTTCTTACGTCTTGGCAAATTTGTGGAAGTCCCAGTGTATGAATTTCAGATGGCTTTCTTCTGGAAGAATTGTGTTCAAATATCCAACAGCATTTGCAAACTCCCTCCTGAGCATCATTTCTCTAGGCCTCTTCTCAACAGTCTGCAAAATTAAGCATTTTGATGGATTTTTTTACAAAATTACAGCAGAACAACCATACAAATTCAGCATTCGATAGCACTTGACCAAAAGGGATACCTTAATTAAATTCAGAACGATGATTGGATTGCCATATCTCTTCATCAGGTCTTCAAAATGCAGTTTCGTTGCTTCATATGTTGGATCATACCTTTGCACTATTGCAAAATGAATAATTGGAATGCTCTTACAAAATGGAGAAAGATAGGGTATGTAATACATACGATGCAAAGTAAAGCTAAAAGAGAAGTAAGTTCTTACAGACAATGTCAGGTTTAGGACTAAATCTTGACGCTTCTTGTGACCAGAAAAGGGGTATAGATCCACGCATTTGCACTACCGAGCTCATTTTCCCCTTGCACGATCCAGCCTCTTCATCCAGGATAATTTGTTCTGTTTCCACATCATTTGCTACCCTTCCCCAATCATTCACTCCTCTTTTCAGGTAACTGCCAATTTAAGCATTGAAATTTGTCATTTCAGTTCTGAATAGCAAACGCTCAATTAAAGAGTTCAAACATGTTTCAGGCAAACACTTGTCCAAGTAGATGGCGTTGAATACATGTCAACATGTTCTATCCAATTCATCTTAGTCTTACAAACCCTAGCAAATCAATAGGATCATAAAAACTGAATACTTACAAAGGCTAGATATTATAAGTTCAGTATAAACACAAAAACAAAAGGCAGACTCTAATGTCCAAGCAATGAAGCAAAAGAGAGAACAAAAAAATTCATGCAGCAGAAAGTACGGATAAGATAAACCAAGGGGCTAGGGGTTATCACGAGCAAACAGGTCAAGTGAAAACTGAGAGAGTATGAAGTGCAGCAGCTGTCGCGAATGCATGCCACTATATTGTCACAAGTGTAGGAGCATAACTATAACACAAGGGCTATGAAAAAAAATCCTTCTTAGCATTCAAATGCACCCATGAAATACTGTTTGTCAATGTCATAAATAAAACCAGCAGAACGGCTTCAACTGAACATTCGGGAGAAAATCTCATAAAGGAATATTTCATAACATGACTAGAAATTAGAGTACTGTTCTTAGAATACGGCTTCAAGTGTAATAGAGTAATGCATTTTAATTATGGAAAAAAAAGACCCTTCGTGGACATCCGATTATTGGAAAACAAGGAAACTAGAATAAAAAGTGAGTATAGAAACTAGAAAGCAGCTTTGCACAAGCTTCAAAATCCCTAAAATTAGATAGCACATAGAAGGATTGTAATGGCAAGGTAGTAAATAATACATCATAAATTAAAAACAATGCATACCGAGTCCCTGCAAAATGACGAGAGCGTCTGGAAACCAAAGATACACTGAAGTCCCTGCCAAAGATGGACAGCCTTGTCTGCAATCATGAGCGACAAAAGTTATCAAAATTCAAAAACACATATGTTGAATATCTTAAATCAACATCATAACCCCGATCAGGATGAGGACAGTAAACCACAAAAGTTCCTAAAGTATACATCAGGTTGCTGATGCCAAAATTCCGTTACTATCTCCAGCACTGGAATGTTGCATGTGCACAAGCATATTCAGCAAATTTTGATGAAGTAAAACAGCAAAAAGTTCAACATTATCTACATTACAAGAGAGTAAAGTTTTATTATGGTCCAAAAACATACAGATACAGCTCATATAGCACCCTTACTATAAAACATACAGCTCAGATGGTGCCGAGTACATATATAACATGGCTGATAGTTACCAACAGTAACAAGTTCTACTGCCCATATAGATGAGTAGAGAAAAATAACTGCAAACCTGCTTGAAGTGTCCATGGACCAAAGCAATTGTCCAAATAGTATTACTGCATCTGATCCGGATAGGTCGTGTTAAGTACTCATTCCACACAAATATGTCATCATACGACATCTTCACTTCGCTTGCAGAAGACACATTCTTCTGCAAACATTGCATTATCGGATATGTATAGCTGAAGAAGAAATCCTTGGTCAAATCGACACTGGACAACAGTTTCTTGTACCTGCACTAGATCACAATAACGCTAAACTCTGACAGTCGTTCCACAAGCACTCTCTCTAAGGAGACGGGGATAGCTTAAGCAGAAGAAAAAGAGTAAGAGGAAGTACCTTAGCTCAGTTTTAGAATGTGCAATATCAGTCTGAATAGAAACATGAGGGACTGTGATCAATTGGCTTTCGTCTATACCATATATTGCATGGCCACATATGCAACCTATCTGCCGACGCTTGGTGACCAAAATCAAATAATAAGACTCCAGAAACTTTATACAACCTGAAAAAGAGAACAGGGATCATTAACATGACAATCATCATGTCTTGGAAAGTTTGAAATAAATATAGCTTGTAAAGCGAACCTGCAATTCCGTAAACCTTTGCCACAAAAGTTAGGCCACCAGTCGAGCGATTTCCTTCAGCAATCCGCTGAAGCAAGCTCTTCATTTCTTGTGGGGAATAAACTACAGGGTCTTCACTAATATTGAGATCAGATGGCTCTGAACGATCAACCTTTAACACCCGAAAGAATCTCTTGTTCCTATCGCTCCCAATTAAGTAAAACCTCTGCTTAAACAAACACAAAAGAATGCACAGTTTCACAAATTCCAGTGAATTATAGCACCATAACCAAATTGTAAAAGATATGCATCTGCTTGTCCAGCTCAATTTCAGATACAAGGATCAGAAGAAGTGATAATACGACCAAGTTAAGAGGTATGTAAATCAAGAACAGAATTCTTTAGAATATCATTAACAACCCCAATGATAGGCGACTCATCACAATCGTAACGACTACTCAATTGCCCGGCCTTACTTTCAATTGATGAAGGAAAAGGAATCCAAAATACATGCAATACCAATATACCACAACGTAAAATGAGCAAACATGCCCACTAACTAACTTTCAAGTGCTCTTGTTCTTGATAATTTTTTTTTAATAAAATCTGAGTTAAGCAACTAGTATTAGAATTCACAGGAGTCTCTAACAAACTCTGCAATGATTCTGAAATCAATGAAAGTAACCCCTCAAGTATCAAGTCCACTTTAACCAAATTCTCAAGCAAATTGCAATTATACATGATTCTCTCCAATTTCCTCTAATTACATTTCCCCAGAAGTCAAACATACCCCTCCAATTCGATACAACATATCTACCACCACAAGCCAATCTCATTCTCCCAATGCCTTCTAATCATAATCTCATCCATAATTCAACTAGGCGACCGCAAAATCTCAAAAGCAAAAACTACGGCACGAAGAATGAAATGGGGAAGAGAAAGTTTCAGCCGCAAACCTGTCTGGTCTCGTAGAGCTTGAACTTTTCGAGGGAGTAATCCTGAGGATTGATCTCGAAGTCATTGGAAGGATGGATTTTTGCTGACGTGCCAACGTAAGCCGCCGGATTGTTGGATTTCGAATTCTCCGATTTCGCCATGGATATCGCCGGAAAACAGAATCGGACCGAGAAGAATACAAACGAAATACGAAAGGGATAAGGGAAATCGCGCTAAATGTGGCTCGAAAATGCAGCGGCGGAGAGAGAAAAAGGAGTATCGGAAAACCGTTGGGAAAAGGTCGTTCGGGTCGGGTCAATAGCTTCCGCGCTAGGAAATACCGAAATAGGGACTTAAAATGTACTTTTTCGATCGTGATCCTTCAACTTTAACTTCTTTTACCTAAAAGTCCTCAGACTTCTAACTTTTCTCCAGTACTTCGCATTCGCAACCTCTCTCTGTCAAAGAAACAGATTGCACTCAAACTGTTCGTGAAAAGAAAAGATGCGAGCTTTAAGCTGTAACGCCACTCACTGGCTAGTAAAGAAGGTTTTTTGTTTGTGGGTAAATGCTAGACAGAGCTGATTCCAGAGCTTGGGACACCATAGTTAGTTGGCAGCAGCTCTTCCTCGCCTAGTGGTGAACTCGATTACCAATTCTTCGCTTCAGTTCTCAAATCCTGCGCCGCTTTCTCATCCATCAAATTCGGCAGCGCCCTCCATGGTCGTATCTGTAAACTAGGCCATCTCTCATGTCAATACGTCTCGAAAGCTTTGCTCAACCTGTATGCTAAGTGTGGAGCTCTTAGCGATTCTAAGAAGTTATCCGGAGAAGTGGGCGATTATCAGGACGATGCAGTCTTCCACAATATACTCTTACCTGGGTTTGCTGGGTCGAGGAAGTACGAAGCTGAAACGTTGCAGTTGTTCACCAGAATACATTCTTGCTAATCAACCAAAGCCTACTTTTGTTACAATTGCCACCGTCCTTCCTGTGTGTGCTCGCTTGGGAGATTTATATGCAGGCAGGAATGTTCATTGCTATGCAATCAAATCTGGCTTGGAAACACATACACTTGCTGGAAATGCTTTGGTATCAATGTATGCGAAATTGGGACTAGTTCATCAAATGCCTTGGCAGTGTTTGATCAAATGCTTGATCTAGACACTGTCAGGCCAGATTCAGTCACATTTGTTAGCGTGCTTCCAGCCTGTGCACAATTGAATGACCCGAGACGCGGGAGAGAGATCCATGGCTATGTTCTCACGAACCCCTTCTTGTGTGAGGATACATCTGCTGCCAATGCATTGATGGACTTTTATGCAAAATGCGATGATGTGAAAGCAGCACATCGAACATTTTACATGACTGATAGGAGAGACTTGATCTCATGGAACTCTATCCTTGATGCATTTGCTGGAAGGAGCGAAGCTCAGTTTGTGCACAACCATCATAAAGATATTCGAGATTCTGTAACTGGTCGATCTTTATTACAGAATGCACTTGACAATAACCCTAACAATGAAAATGAAACACAATCAAGAGAACTAAATTCAACTCCACTCTGGGAGTAGTTAATCATACTAGGAATCCAGCAAAAAAGTCTTTCCAAACTTTGGTCTGGAAATCGCACATGAAGCCACCAGTTGCAGGCTTCAAGCTGAAGCAGTCTTCTTTTGCTGGAAAATGACAGCATATACGGGAACTCCCACGCCGATGGAGAAGGCAGTCAGGACAGCAAGAGGCATTTTAATTTTCTGATACTTCATCCTATCCAAGTTGTACATGTGCTTGGCGTGAAGATAGAATGGTTCATCGTGGCCATGACCTCCCATCCTCTTCACACCTGTCGAGTGGAAACTCCTGTTCACTGCCACAAGAAATCGTTTGCTGTCAGTTGGGGTAAGATAAATAATTTGCTGAAGAAACACAGCTCCAGGTCACAAAAGCAATCTGATACAATAACCACGAGGCGATACAACACTTAGTACCCTGGTAAAGATAAGATTCTCAAATAATCCAAAAAGAAAAGCAGAACAGGTTATATGAGGTAACTTGTTTTGCAAGCAATGGGTATCTGGCGACGGAGGAACCTAGATGCAGGAGTTGGTTAAAGTTAGAAAATTTACAAAGTCATGAGAGAATTTGAAGCAAATGAACTTCACAATTAACAGTCAAATGAATGTGACTCTAGCTGCTAGAGCCAGAAAATGCTAGATGCTGATTTCCATGACTACCCAAAAGCTAATCGACAATACATAGATTTGTGATTTCATAGCCTAAGGAAGAGGAAACCTGTTCACCAAGAAAAGGAAACCTTTCAATAAACTACTAGCAACAAAGTAAAACAGAGATTAGTAAATAAAGATTTTCAGTTTAGACCATCACCCTGAAAAAACAGAAGAACAAACACTGAAAAAACAGAAAAGTCAGCCCCATTTTCTAAGCACTTCTAGGGTGACATTTCATGTATCAAAGACACTTTCAAATTAACCAACGATTACTTCTTACAGCATCCGACTGCAACGTACCATCATTTCCAAACCGATGTTTACAATTCCTGTATCTATCATCTCAGTTACATTACATTCAACTCCAAATCCTCCTCCACGTATAAAAAATTCAGCTCTTCCATAAGCGGCAATAAATTCGAGTTCCACTTATTCTTCACACATACCATAAAATTAAAAGCTTACAAACCCTAATCAACAACGGGACTGGGGAATCGACAGACAAAATGAAATTTTCTCGTCGCCGATCAGATCCGGAAATCAAACCCAAATTCGAAACTTCAACTCTCCATCCCAAACGAGAGAACGCAAGACAAGACTACCGAATTCGATTCAACTCAGTTGGCCCCGCATTTCTACGCAAACAAACGCTCCGCAATAAGAGAAAGGGAAAGGGTTGTTAGCTTGGAGAACCAAACCTGATTTAGACAGGAGATATTCTGAGGCCGCGTAGAGCCTCGAGGCGGATCTGAGACCTGCGTTCATAGCCATGGCTTCGATCGGAGAGACGAAGGACGAGAGCAAGCACGAGGGATTGAGAGTTCAACAATCGGCTGGAACTGGAAAGGGATACTTGTGATTTTCAAATTGTTTTTCCTTTTGTTTTTATAGTTTTATTGGTTTTAGTTTGTACTGGGTGTTCTATTGCATTAAGGTTTGGGCTTGGTGTTGGGCTTTTTATGTCTTCGCCCAGCAGATGATTGGGCCGAGATACCTTTCCCGATTATTGTTTATATTCGGGGCCAATACTAACACATCTCCTAGCGCAAGTAGAACAATTACTAATAATAATCAATACTAATATTCTCAAACAATTACTTAATACAAACTAATAAGAAAAAGATACGCAAGCCCAGTAATTAATGAAATGCTACGATGGCTCGATCTCGTAACATCAATGGTAGGATATTTTGTAGTCAAATTGTGATTTAATCGGGGTTTAATCGTTTCCTAGCTATCGCTACGACCGCTTACCGTTTTGAGTCCGATATCTCATATTTCCAGTCGGACCAACCAATACGGTAGGATTCCCTTCTAGACACATGCATCATCGATCAGGATCCATATGAAGCATATATTTCCCTGTATCCCAATGCAACGAATCTAGCTATTTCCTATAAGTTAAGTTCTTGGAGTCAACATAGGAAGACATTTGTAGAATATGAAAGTTGTCAAATGTTCATGATCACTACAAGAAACGGCACTTTTGTGACGAATTCTAGTACGATGTAATCAATTTTGCTGAGCCTTCCTCAAAATCGATTGTATGTGACAGTCACATTTGTCAGCAAGGGTTTTCGTTTTCCCCTGAGAAAATATACAGTGTCAAACAAGATAGACTACAGTCTACAAGCTTCGTGACATGGCAAATTAACTAGGGCAAATCAAAAAGGAAAAAAAATTGCAGCAATGAGAATATTCCTGTGTTATAAAAAAAAAATATAAAAGTGTTGCGGCAAGGAGAGAGGAAATTTAAAAATTTCAATGCAAAAATATAAAATTTTCAGGGAGGACAATTTTCCTATATGTGACAACATATAGGATTTTGGAATCTCTTCATTAATTTTTAAGATATACATATTACATACCATATATTTTTTTTTTGTCAAATACATAATTATAACGATACCTTCGAGACTAAATTTATATATATCCGCTGGACTCAATACATTCAACATTCTGATAGTAATTAACTAGTGCTAAATAGGCTACTACGTACTACAATCACAACAATTTATTCTCTCCCAAAAGAAAACCAGGTTCCTAAATCCACAACCATGAAGAGCTCCAACATCTTCCTTCTCCTTTTGCTCGTATCTTTCGTCATCATCGGTAAATAACTCATCATATTTCTCTTAATTCGACGAGTCTTTGTAATCTACTTACAAATTAATCTAAGATGTACCATAAATGAGGCAGCGATTTCTTCCTTTTATATTTCTCATTTCGCGACTCCTTTTTGAGGTGTTAATATGCATGCCATATGAATGTAGTGATTTCGAGCTCTTATAAGATGCAGAAGATGAAGTGGCAGTGGCGGCGGCGGCGACGACGGTCACTGAAGCTAAAGGAATCTGTTTCAAAAAACCGAGTTTCTACGAAGGCGATTGTATTCTACTCAGTTGCCAGGCAGAATGTAAAATCAAATATGGGGCCTCAGCAGCTGCTATGTGTCACAATCAGATTTTCTGTTATTGCTATTTTCCATGCTAATTAATATTAGCTTGATTTTCCTGTAATTTTATTGATGCAGAGTAATAAAATGTTCAATTCTTCCTATGTATTTTTTTTTTTACCATGCACTTAATTTTTTTCTTTTTGGCGAAGAAGTTCTCAATATTTATGGATAGTAACTAAGCCAAGTAGAGATATAGATCAAGAAGCCAAATCCAATATCTCTGCAGATTTCCTCGAGCCTAGCTATTTAGTTGACAAATGATAACCCAGTCTATTTAACAGTAGGGCTGCCAGTTCGCCAAAAAACCAAATAAGGAAAATTTACAAGAACCAAAACCATAACAATGAAGGGACTTGTCGGTTTGGTTTGGATAAACCAAAAAACCAAAAACCAAACTGATAATTGGGAAGTCCAAAAATGGAGTAAAAGAAGTATGATAATAGGGAAGAAGTCTATTTATTATAAGCGTCAAACAAGTTCCCAAAATATGGACATTTTGTGTATTTCTTATGAATTTACTCAATTTCACCTAGCAATGTTTTCCTAATAAGCGTCGCCAAGTATGCAAAAATGCTAGTCCAGCCAGCATCTAAAATGGCTCTGTTAAAGTTGTGGACGGGATCACACATTTTGTCTATTTATGAAAAATTGGCTATTATTGTCACAAAGTCGATAATTATTAATATGCATGTGTAAAACGAAAATAGCAAGTTTAGACTCCATAAAATATCCCTGAAATAAACACCTTTTAGCTCTTGGAGAGAGCTTACTCTCATTAACGTGATAATAAGATGGGTAACCAAATATTCTCAATTTGGAATATTCAACAGGTTTATCGGTCCAAATTTCTTCTCGAATTTTATACTAAAACGACTTATGAGGAGAACGGTTGATTAAATAACAAACTGTGGCTGCAGCTTCTGCCCATAAATTACGTCTATGCCATAAACCTGCATTTGACATCATACACCGAGTTCTTTCCAAAATTGTTCTGTTAAGTCTTTCGGCAACACCATTATACTGAGGTGTTTTAACTTGAGTTTTGTGTCTGCCGATTCCATGTCTAGTTAAGATACTCTCAATCTTAAGGCTTCTAAAATATGAAATATTGAGGGAGGAGAATTTTTCAATATGAACACTTTTACCGAACATTTGGAATCAAATGAATTGAAAATTCATTTCATTTTAAAATGAATTACCATGTAGAATTTATTGTCAAATGAATTCGGGTGTTTGGTATGTCATATTCAAATGTTTAGAAATAAATGTGCAGTAACCAGCATATGCTACTAGCTTTGCAATCAAACTCTTGTCGACGTTCCTCCAATTGCATGAACTGGCACAAGATAATATATGTGTAGAAGTAATTTAGTTAATAAATAAGTATAATTATATTATCCTATTATAATTAGTAAATGCTTGCGGAATTCATTTGAAAATTTCATCTCAATTCCTTGAAATTGTTATAACTAGTTCCAATTCCGTAGAATTCAAAATTTAGAATTGAAAATGGATTCTTTTAAATACCAAACACACAAGATTTCATTTCAAAATGAATTTCTCAAAAACTTATTGAATTCATTTATACCAAACGGTATGTTAGGTTTTTTGAATCTCTTCATTAATTTTTAAGATATATATACCATATCTTTGTTTGTCAAGTACATAATTATTACGTTATTTTTTAGACTAAATTATATATATATATCCCCTCCCTCTGGCCTCAATAAATTCAACATTCTGAGCAGTAACTAGTGCTTAATAGGCTATAGCACAATCGCAACAATTTTATTCTCTCCAAAAAAAAAAAAAACCCCCCCAGGTTCCTAAATCCACAACCATGAAGAACTCCAACATCTTCCTTCTCTTCTTAATTGTATCTTTCGTCATCATCGGTAATTAACTCATATATTTCTATTAATTCGTCGAGTCTTGTTGCAATCTACTTGAAAAAAAATCTAAGATGTATCATAAACAAGGAAGTGATTTCTTCCTTTTTTATCCCCCATCAATCCTTTATTTTTCCATTTCGGGGTCTTAAGATGTCATATAAAATGTATTGATTTCGAGGTCTTAATATGCAGAAGATGAAGTGGCAGTGGCGGCGACGACCGTCACTAAAGATAAAGGATTATGTTTGAAAGGAATACCGAGGGACCTTGGCGATTGTCTTGGAGATGATTGCACTATGAATTGTCAGATCCGATATGGGGGCTCAACAATTGGTCAATGTCGCGATATGATTCACTGTTATTGCTATGGCCCATGCTAATTAATATTAACTTGAGTTTCCTGTAATTTTATTGATGCAGTAATAAAATGTTCAGTTACATCCATCTCCCTATGTATTTTTTTTACCGTGCGTTTAAAAAAAAATTGTGAAAGAAGTTTTCAAATTTTATGAATAATAACTAGGCCAAATACATACATAAATTAGATAAAGAATCCAAATCCAATATTTTGCAAATTTTCTTGAGCTAAGCTATCTAGTTGACAACCCAATCTATTTAACAGCAAGGCTGCCAATTTGGTTTGGTTAACCAAACCTACACATGAAAAAACAAAAATCAAATCAGATAAATTCCCAATAACCAAAACCGTGAAGATACTTTTTGGTTTTCGGTTTGGAAAAAGAAAAAAAAAACCAAACACATAGTTCGAGAAGTTAAAACAAAGGAAACAGGAAGACATTCATCCAGTATTGAATCATACTGCTTAAAATTGAGTTAATCAACTGCAGTTTTCCAGCATAGTGCAACAACTTTGGTTTCCATCCTGCAATTCTGTTTGTAATCCTGTCCACCAAAATTTTACAATCATGGGCACTTAGCTTCTAAGCTATTAGTGGAATTCCCAAGTATTTGACTGATAGTTTAGCTGTCTAAATTCCAGTATTGAAGCTACCTCTCCATACTTCCCTTAAGGTAAACCAGCTCAAAACAATCGACTTTTCTCAGAATTAAACCTTAAGGCAGACAACTTGTAAAAACTGATGCAACCGACTACTATTGTATTTATTTAAAAAATTAATTTCGTACAACTAATTTGTAGGATGACATATTTTAACTATACACTAGTTATCTATTTATTAATATTAATACAGTCTTAAATATAAGAGTGTTATGATGAGGAGAGAGAGAAAAAAAATTCAATGGTGAAAATAAATTTTGAGGGTGGAGAATTTTCCAATGTGACAATATAGGTTTTTGGAATCTCTTTATTAATTTTTAAGATATATATACCATATCTTTGTTTTTCAAATATATAATTATGTTATTTTCAAAACCAAAATTCCAATGACAAAACAATAAATATTGTTTCCCAATATAAAATGAGAAATTATTATTAAATATAGTATATTTCTTTTTCAAATTTTTCAGAACCAAATCATTTATATATATATATATATATATATATATATATATATATATATATATAGACGACTGGTATGCTCTAGGAGCATACTATGCTCCAGATGATCTGACCATTAGATTTACATGGATTAGCTCCCGCCAATGTCAATGGTCAGCTCTTCTTTTCTCTTAAATTGAACTTTGAGTTTGGGATTAGAAAATTGGGGCCTGGGGTTTATCCATTTGAGGTTAGGGTATAATATCATACCCCAAACTCGGTTTAATTCATGATCTATACGACGAGTACACGACTCAAGTAATTCAAGAAAATAGGGTCCCGCCAATCACTTTCCTAAATTTTTTTTATAATGGTAATATAGATTATTATCATTATCAGCTAACAAATTCTACCAGCAAGCTGTTAAGTAGGTAACAACAACTCAATAAGAAGATACAAGTAATAAAATGCAAACCCTCTTTCCTATCCAATAACAATGAGCTCCCTTCCACTGCCTTCTACCCACAAATTAAGGCAGACCATGGTTGTCAAACCGGTCTCATGCCGGCCGGTTCAACCGGGTACAACCGGTACCGGTCACCAAACCGGCTGGAAAGAGGCCGGTATTTAACTGTGGTCAAATCCGGTCAATACCGGTCAGACCCAGTCAATACCGGAAATTCCGGCCAGTTAGACCAGAAACCGGAATTCAATGTCACACCTATTTTATCCAAAAATAAATGCCCTCCTTAGGATTTGAACCATGTACCTCATGTTCATTTTAGACTCTCTTATACACCAGTAGGCTACAAGCAACTCTGTTGTACATATTAACCTTATATATTATATATCTAACACTAAATTTTACACAAATCATTATAAATATTAATAAAATTCATTTTATATACTTTTATTTTTAATCATCTAATTGTTTAGTATTAGTTACCAATTCTTAGCTATAAATTATTTTGTGTGAAATAATTTTTCTAATTGCTTTTTGATGACTAATTTATTTAGAATTGAGGATTTTCATTTGTCTCATATATTTTATTAAAACCGGCACAACCGGCGTGAATACTGGTTGTACCACGGTCGGACCATTCCACTTTCAAAACCGGCACACCGGCATAAACCGGTTTGACAACCTTGAGGGTTGAGGCAGACCCATTCAATAGACGCCCAGAGGTTGCAAACCATGTTATCAGAGGCGGAGGCAGGGGTGTTTGCCCCTGTCCCGGGACAGGGGCAACTTTTGGGAAGGAAAAAAAATAACCCCACATATATTTGTACAGATCGAATTAATCACTTACAAGTAACATAAGGATATTTTAACATTACAACATAAATCATTACTTGTTCATTAATTCCCAAAAAATAATTAAATTACATGACACTATCATTTTACAATATCTAGGTATTATCATGATATTATGGTGTAAACAATGAATGTATTTTACATTTTTTTCATAATATGAAAATTCGTCCTAGTTATTTATGAAACAATAATTGTATTAGTCAGTTTTTTGTTTCTCTGTGAATGAATTATTAAGATTATTAATTTTAATTATATTTATAAAATATTATATATATTCTAAATAAAGGACAGGGGTAGTTTGAAATCCTGACTCCGCCACTGCATGTTATCACCATGAACTGCAAAATATGGTACCAGACGTTTCACTTGATTCTGGGGAAAAGGAAATGGAAATGACACCTAGCTTTTCTACTTTTGGAAAATGAAAAATAGTAAGTTAATGACTACAAACACAATATCCCAATTATAATAAAGTACTACGTATATCTCTTTTTCTCCATATATATATGGTGAATTTAAATACTATGTATAGATTTTGTTATAAATGCAAATTGTACATATGCTATATACCATTAATGATTTGATATACATGCATATCCTATAATTAATTTGCTCCATCGGATTGCATATAAATAGGTCTATAGACTTTGCACATTCGACGTGGTAATTTGAGACTGTCGAGAGAAAGTAGGTTCCTATTTCCCTAAATGCTTATGATGAAGAGTTCCAACATCTTCCTTCTCTTTTTAGTGATATTTCTCGTCGGCGGTAAACACCTTATGATATTTTTCTTTGTATTTACTACTTCGTCACTTTCTACTTCTATTTCCAGTAATCCCAATTTTTTTTTGTGCTAATGAATTTCTTGATGGATTGAATATGCAGGGAACGGAGTGGCAATAGCGGCGAGCAATATCACTGAAATAGAGGGAGGATTTTGTCAGATAGGAATAGCGCATACAGTCCCTGTGTGCAGCCCAGCAGAAACCTGCAACTTCGTGTGCAAGTCGAAATATGGGCAAGGGGAAACAACTATCGGTGAATGTGACGATGATCTTACATGCAATTGCTATAGTCCATGTGAAGGAATAGGTAAGGAATGATAATTTGAACTCGCTTTGTCAGCTACGTATTACTCGACCTGACTCGTGATTGGGCGGGTATATTATCAGACCTACAGTAGTATGGGGTGGGACATAGATATTTTTACTTCCGACTTGCCATACCCCGCTCAGCCCCGTTCTTGGCCTATTATTTCTCTATTTCTTACAATATATATTCATAATTTCTCATATTTTGACATTTCATTAACTAGTTAGACTCGATCTTTCAATTAGTTAGACTCAATTGCTCATTATATTATCACTATTTTTCATTCTTAAGGTTTATTTCAAATTAGTTAGACTCAATTAGTCAACCCGTCGCTCTCCATACCCGCGTGGTCGCCCTGACCCGTGCTTGGTATGAGGTGGGTATGAGTACTGAGATACCCGTCCTTACATTTAATATTTCATTATCTTGTTTTCTATCATCATAAAGCCAACCACATACAACCAACAAAACGTATGATTACTAGTAATGTATTTTATTTTCTAATTTTAAATAATATTTTATGAAAAATTTCTTTGCAAATGGTAATGAATCCAAAAGTCTCACATTTGAGCTAATTATGACTCATTCTTGAAGGTGACAGCTTCGACGAGGAGCTAGAGTCACGAGAAAATGATGGAGACGATAAGATGGATGACCCTCTTCGCCACTTGTTAAATTTGACGTATAGACAAAAATAAAAATGATAGAGAGAATAAGTAATAGAAAGATATATAAGAATAAAAGTGAGTTCATGAAAAAATGTCAAGAACATAATTAGAAAGATTGAGCTAAAATAACGAGTCATTTGAAAATGACTCATAAATAGTAGGCATTTACACATTAAATGACTCAATTATATATGCAGGAGACGAAGTGGCAACGGCGGCGAGCAATACCACTGAAGACGGAGGATTTTGTCAGATAGGCAAAGCGCATGCAGTCCATTTGTGCAGCCCAGCAGAAACCTGCAACTTCGTGTGCAAGTTGAAATATGATCATGGGGAAACAACTATTATTGGTGAATGTGGAGATGATCTTACGTGTAATTGTTATAGCCCCTGTGAAGGAATAGGGATTCCGCCGGCCGAGCGGATTGGATGATTTTCAGGCTAAAAATTCAGTTTTTTTATGTTAACGATTTTATGAATCGAGGAACATGATTTGCATCGATATATGTATTTGTATGATTACAGTCGGGTCGAGTGGGTTGTATGACGATGGTGGGTTGGTTTGGTAGTTGTGTTGGAATAAACATATTTTTTTCGGGTAGAAAGTGGGGTGATAAAAGGGCACCCCTGCCTGGTACTAGATTAAACGAGTTTGGACAATGCTTATAATGTCATATAAAATCCAGAAAGCAAGTCCCGGATCATCATATAATTTTGAAACTCCAATTTACTTTGCAGGATTCAGTTGGCCATTCTAATATTTACGACAAAGACAAAAAGTCGGGTTCTTACCGAATAAAATTTAAAATTAATCAATTATAACTAGTTTTTTAACCTTGAAACTGATATATTTAAAATTTTATCAATAATTTAGTTGAAATTAAATAATTCTCAAAATATTGGGTAATATATTTTCAGAAGTTTTACGTAGTGTCTTAATTAATAAGAAAGACTTGCGTAATACATATGTTTAGTTTATACATAAGAAATATGTATCACTTCATAATTTACATAATTATTATAGCCTGCTAAGTAAATCTTTCATAATTTTTATGATTTAATAATAAAATCAAGTTACGGATGAAATTGGCTTTTCTCATGGAACCTTTGGGTAACCTTGGGTTACTTGTCCTGTATAATAACAGTACCAGATACTTGCTCTTTAACCGATTTAGTAATTATTTAAAAAAAAATCGACTTTTAATTACGTACACTTCCTTTCAAATTGCAAGGGAATCTCCACCCTTGAACATGATTTTGGAATCCAGTGGTTACGCTGCTATAGACTCTGCCGACCACGTCGAGCGCCTAACGATCATATATATATACATGAGATAAATGCTTTAAGTTCATTCATCAACCACCACCACCACCATTGCCAATAAAAAATAATGTCTCAATCGGTAGTTTTGCAGCTGGTAGTGGTGTGGTCATCGTGACGATGATCACAGGGGCGGAGCCAGGATTTCGAAACCGGGGGGGCCGAAAATAATTAAAAAATTTTATGTAACCAATGTGAATCGAACCCGTGTGCTATAATACACTAGTTAAGCTTCACTACCATTAGGCCACATAACTATTTGATGACATAATTTACAGAACATGTTCTACTTCTAAAATTTGTACGAAATATCCTTAAGAACCTAGGGGCCGGGATCAATCCCGGGGGGCCGGGGCCCACCCTAGCTACAATGTAGCTCCGCCCCTGGATGATCATGTGTTACTGTCGCGGGCTTAGCTCCGGGCAGAACATGAATTTGTGCGCCACCAAAGACGACCGGAACTTGTGCAATGCAAGCGACAGCAACGGTTTCTGCAACCCGGACGATTTCCAAGTGAAGAACCCAAAGAGATTCCAAGTTAAATTGCTGAAATCACTTGCGCGTTCTAATATCTTCGACGACGGGAAAAAGGCGGGCTGTACCGGAATAGACTTTACTCCCATTGTATATGCCTATTACTGTTGCGACAGGGGTTTTGAGGACCGTTGCGGCCGCTGTTTGGACAGAGCCGTCAGGCGCCTGAAAAATGGATGCCCCGGCAGATCCGGAGGTAGTGTGATACGGGATGTATGTTCTCTGAGGTACGAGATTTACGACATCTGCGACCCTAATTTCGTTTGACTAGCAATATGAACTCAAAAAATATTGGTGCAAGAGCTTATATATAATATAGCCATGTGATACTGCTTGTATTGTTATTGTTTTCCTGGTGTTGGAACTTGGAAAAACGGATCAAAGACTACTCCATGAATGAAATAAAGCATTTTCTTTGTTTGCTTGTATGTATGAACTCGATCGCGACAAAGTATGACTAGTTTAGTTTGGCTGACGTACCTAAATGTTCTCCTATTCCATCTCTAAAAGTAGGGATACACAGGTTGACGGTAGGACAAGAAGCACAGTGTGTAGAAGAATTAATCTGTGTGATCTTCATTATTCACTGATGTGTATGTCACCTATCGTTCTAGAGCGAGTCTACAAATACATGCACTAGGAGGAAACTTGTTTATGCAACGTCTTTTCACGGTTTCTCTCGTTCGTGTCCGGTTTAGCTTTATTTTACAAAGCAATTCAAGGGACACCTCAATTCCAAAAAGTCAGAATTTCAATCGAAGAACATAGTGTTCACTATCTGAGTGGTGGAAATTGAAAGATTCTGGGTGAATACGATCATGGTTGCTTACCAAAGTAAAGACTTATCTTATCATATGGCTATTACTCCACATCCCGGAGAATACGATTATGCGAAAGACTCTTTTTATTAATTGTTACCTATCAAGCGAATGTGAAAAAGAAGAGCACAAATGATAAGAACATTAGAAATAACTGAGATCTCAATCCAGACCCCTTTACAATCTCCACGATATACAACTTGTTTCTCTATACTTGTCAAGCACTTTGTAACCACAAAGCCTAGCCCTCTACCACTATTTTTGCAAGTCAACCTTACAAAAAATAGGTACGAAAAAATCTTAATTACTCCGTAGATCTAACCTTGCTAAAAACTAATGGGCCAAATATGATTATGTACAAAAGCATAAGCAAGATTTATACAGGGTAGACCCGAAAAATATATGTGACCCAAAACGCTTTTTTTTCTTTCGAAAAGAAAATGAAATACCATATATATATTTATCAAATGCGTAATTATTTTATTTAAAGCCATATTTTTAATGTATATACGGAAAGTATATCTCATCTAATTAAGATAACCCAAAATTTGCTCGAACATAATCCATATAAATAGGGCTCTCATCTTTCTCCACTTTGTACATTCTACATTCCACATTGTGATTTGTAACTAGTGGTAAGCTATTACCACATCACATTCTCTTCCAAAAGTTCAGAAAAAAAAAAAAAAAAAACAGATTCCCAAATTCTAAAGTATGAAGAACTCCAACATCTTACTTCTCTTCTTACTTGCATCTTTAGTCATCATCGGTAAATATCTCCTGATTTCCTTGCCAATTTTTTAAGTTTTATATGATCATTCAAATTGATTAATTTCACGGCATATAAATATATGCAGGAAATGAAGTGGCCATGGCGAACAAAATCAGTACCGATCAATCTGAATGGATCTGTTATAAAGGAACGGCGAAGGTGGCCGGTAACTGTGTTCAGAATACATGCGATTCCGCTTGCAAGGTGCAATATGGGGGTTCAACAACTGGTCTCTGTCGAAGTCAGCTCTTATGCAACTGTTATGGCCCATGTCAGATTAATTAACTTTGGTATTCCTGTAAATTTGTCAGTGCAGTAATCAATTTTTCAGTAACGATTATCTCCCTGTATGCGTTCTTTTTTAGTACAAGAATTTTTGTTTTATTTTTGTGAGAGAAAAAGTCATCCATTTAAAAGAACAACTAAGTCAAATACTGTTCAGTCATTACTTATCAAATCTAGCATTCAATTTTCGTCATTATGAGGTAGATAGAAAGATAATCCAAACCATAATTTCGGTTTCACAAAAACACCATAAATACAATATCTTTCTTCTGTCAAAATATATAAATTTAGATTTTTCTAACCAGATGTTTTTGGTGCGTATAGACACAACTGAACCCAATACAAGTAGATCTCTAGCTCATCTCTGGACTCTTTGCACATTCAACTTTTCTTCCAAAACCAGAAGAGATCCTAATTAATTAACCCTAAGTATGAAGAGCTCCAACATCGTCCTTCTCTTCTTACTCGCATCTTTCATCATCATCGGTAAATAATCCTCATACCAATACATGTTTTTTTCCCTTCGATACAGACACACAGTCATAATAGTCAGATTATAACACTTCGTCGCGATGGTGTAGGAAATGAATTGACAATGGCGACGAGAATCGGTACAGAAGCTGAAGGAAAATGCGAGAAAGGGAAGATGAAAACGGGATCTGGGTGTTTTGATCCGGGATGCGACTTAAGTTGCAGGATGAACTATCCGGCAACTAGTGTAAAGGGGATGATTTATGCGTCTGTTATGGTCCGTGTTCATAAGTTACATCTCTGACTTTATGATCAGTGCGGTAATAAAATGTTCAATAATTACAATTATGTATGGAATAATACCGTGGTGGAGAGTACTGTGTTGTACTGTTGTTTGGAATAATAATGGTTAATGAATAGTACTTTTCTCGAAGTTTTAGTATTAAAATAAAATTGAAAAAGGATGCATTGGAAGTTTCACATAATGAATTTCAAGGATGGGCAATTTCCATCGGACGTCAAAATTAATGGCTCGACTTTTATAATTTTTCGATGAAACAGAGTGGAAGTATTCAAGACTTTCATTTTCGTGCAGCAGAGCTGGTGAACTAGAATGTAAATTAGCACACTGAGAGAGAAAATGTTAGAGAGAGAAAAAGAGAGAAGTGGGAGAGTCGGGCTTGCCCGGCGGGGGAGTGATCCAGAGAGGGGAAGCGTTCAGGGTCTGCATAACCATTCTAGCGTGCTTTCTTCGTCTTTGTCTGTTTGTTCGCGCAGGTCACAGGCTCAGAGGTCGGATGGCGTCGGCGGCAGACGACTGGAGAAGTATTCGCTGGAGGCAAGATTTGGGTCCAAGTTGGTTCGGATTGGTAGGGAAGAAGCGGACAGGGTTGGTTGGTACAAAATCCAGGTGATCGAGAGTTCGAAGAGATGGTTCATTCTGCTTAGTGAAGACCTTTTAGCTTGGCTTCAGGGTGTGCTTCAAACGGCAGCAATGCGAGCTTGGAGGTTTGGACATGGGTATGTTAAGCGAAGTGGATCCCGTGTGGTTCATGTCGGCAGATCTTCCCGCAAAGGGCGATCTGCCCTTCAGATTTCTGAGAGGGTTGCTAGTGGAAGAGTCTTCAAGATCCTGATCCCGGAGCCGGAAGGAAGATCAGGTTGGGCTTCGCTTACAGCTCTCCTGCAGGATTTTTACAAGCTCGATAGAAGTCCAAAGGCCAGCCACGAGCCACCTTCGTTGTTCCCACTTCATATAAACCCTCGTCCCAGATCGTTTGCTGAGGTTGTTAAGGGAGCTGGGCTCTATGGAGCGGGGGAATGCCGGATTGTAGAAGCGGGTAAATCAAGATTCATCGAAGTCGGAGACAAAGGGACAAATAACAGATTAGAATTATTGGGAAAATGCCTTGTGATTAAGCTGCTGCCGGGAGATGGAAGAACTAGCCTGCAAAATGTCGACGGCGATTTCAGAAGATGGGCGATCAACAAGTGGGCGGTGGACTCAAATTATGAGTGGATTTGCAAAGGTGAAGGTGAATGGATGCTGGTTTGTCCCAGCTGGCAACAAGCAGTGAGGATTAAAAACTTTGATCAATGTCTATTCCGCAATCTGCCGATCAACATTTCGTTCTGGAATGAGGGCTGCAGAGATGCGTTGAAGCCGCTTAAGTGGGTTCGAGTGTTCGGCATTCCGCTGCATCTGAAGAGCATCGAGCTTATTAGAGAGGTAGGCAAGTTCTGTGGTACTCTGGTGGAGGTGGATTGGAATCATTGGTCAGCTGACTTCGTCAGAATTTTGATTAGGGCGGAAAGGGTTATACCGGAGTTTATTCCGATTAGATTCGCTGGATCGGAGTTCAAACTGACGGTCGTGTCACCCCCTGACGACCCAATGGTGATGCCGCTGCTGTCTCGTGGGGAAGCGGGAGTAAAGTCGGATCTCCTTTTCTCAGAAGCCGAAGCGAAGCATGGGGATCGACGAGAGCGTGGCTGCATGGCTGGCGTGACTGTTAGCGGCGGTTCGCATTCTGGGGACTCAAATCCTGATCCATCCACTAAGCAATTGGCTGCTGGGACCATTAGTAATAACCGGGTTAAGAAGGTTTGGGTTAGAAAATTTGGGCCCGTCCGGTCGAGCCCAATTGCTCCATCAAAGTCGGGCTGCCTCCCCCTCTCGGGCCCTTGCCCTTTGGCCCTTCAGAAAGACCCTGATCCTATTTTTGATATGGGTTCCAGGCCCTTTTGTTTCAGTCTGCAGCTCGGGCCTTCTAGCGTCCTCCATTTTCTCTTAAACCAAATCCCAATCCCGATCGACAGCAGCCGAGCCTTTTCTCATCTCTCCTCGATCTCCTTGAACTTCAAGCCGTCCCTTTTCCCTTCCATTCCCGATAAGCCGTCCCTTTTCCCTTCCATTCCAGAGTTGCTATTCTCATCCCAGGACCCAAACCATCACTCGATGGCTATATGCAGTACCGATTCTGGATCTCCCATCCCCCCCTCCTCCCCAACCCACTGCCAACCCCAGAACCATTTTTCAACCCTGCAGAATTCCTATTCTCCCTCACACTCATCACCTTCAATCCTTTCCCTTTCTCAACCAACCTCCAGCCCACCCCTATCAGCCCCAGAAACCCCCAGCCCTTACTTGGATATTGTGCCTGATTTACCCTCACCTTCTTGCGTGCCAGACAGCCAAGCCATGGAATGGCGGGAGAATGAGTTCCCTTTTGATGCGGAGACTTTGGTCAATAGAAGCCGTGAAGTCGCGAATTTGATAAATTTGGATCACGATGACGGACAAGTGCAAAGAGACATGATTGTTGAAAGGAAGGCCAGGCTTATGCACCAGAGGAAGGTGCGTCCCCGCAGGACAAAATTGGAAATGGAGCATCGAAGGTTGGGAATTGTGGAGATTCCCATTAGTGGAACTCGAAGATCTAAACACAGGGACGAGGGTGTTGATCTATCTATGGTATAATGAATCCTTCTTTAATTGTGTGGAACGTTAGGGGTCTTGGAGATTTCGGCAAGAGAGGGAGGGTTAAAAGACTTCTAGCAAGGCGGAAAGCAAGCATTGTGGGTCTTGTTGAAACGAAATGGAACCAGTGTAGTGATGAGCTCATAGCAGGGGTTAGTGGAAGCAGGGACAGCGGATGGGCGGCTGTGAATGCTGTCTGCAATGCAGGGGGGATCGCAATTTACTGGGACAAAAACTGCTTTCGGAGTGTTTCGTCTAGAGTTGGGGCTTACTATCTTCAGGTTGATTTTCAGGAAGAGTGTTCTCAGAAACTGTGGTCGCTTGCTGTGGTCTACGGCCCCCAAGATAGAGAGGAGAAGCTGGCATTTATCAGGGAGATCGACGATTTATGCTCAGGTACTGAAATCCCACTATGCATTGCTGGGGACTTCAACCTGGTTCGGTCTCACGAGGACTACAGAGGTGCTCGAAGGAATACTACTTTGATGGACGAGTTCAATGAGTGCATTAATATCAACGGCCTTCTCGAAATCCCCCTCAGCGGCAGCCTCTTCACTTGGTGTAGAGGTGATGGTTCTGATTCTTTTTCTCGCATTGACAGGGCGTTTATTAATCAGGGGTTCGACCAACTATATCAGAACTGTAGCATGATGGCACTTGAGCGGGTTGAATCCGATCATAACCCTCTACTGATCAAGTTGGGGGCTCAGGATAGGATTAGAAGGCCCTGGAAATTTGAGAATATGTGGCTGCAAGATGAGAGATTTTTTAGGGATCTGGAGACGTGGATGAGGTCAGATGTTGAAGGATTTGGGGCTGCTTTTCGGTGGAGTCAAAGACTGCAGAATCTGAAGGGCCTTATTAAGGTTTGGAACAAAGAGGTATTTGGTAATATCAATACTCGGATTGAGATGGTGCTGTCCAAGATTAATGAACTTGACTTGGCCGGGCAAGCAAGACCTTTAAGTGGTGGCGAAATTAATGACATTAATGGGCTTAAGATAGACTTAAGCAGACTTCTTTCATTACAAGAAATCTTGTGGAGACAGAAAGTGAAAGAGCAGTGGCTGAAATTGGGTGATGACAACTCGAGATATTTCCATGTGGTGGCAAACAACAAGAGAAGGTTTAATATGATCGAGTGCATCAACATCCAAGGGGTAAGGTTCGAAGGAAGAGCAGATGTGGCGAAAGGGGTTGTTGATTTCTACACCTCTTTCTTCAGGGAATCTGTTGTTAGGAGACCCTTCCCTAGGAACCTTGAACTTGCTAAGCTGAATGAGTCGGAGGCTGCTTCACTCATGCAAGTCTTCTCCGAAGCTGAGATTTGGACGAGCCTTAGAGACAGTGATGGGTGGAAAGCTCCGGGACCCGATGGCTTTTCATGGGACTTCTATAAAAGGTGTTGGCCTCTGATTCGGGGGGAGGTTCTGAATGCTTTGTCCGAATTCCACGAGACGGGGACTCTCCCCAAGCGTATCACTCACTCTTTCCTGTGTCTTGTTCCCAAGAGGGATGCGGTTGAAGATATTAAGGACTTGAGGCCGATCAGTTTGATGGGAAGCTTGAACAAACTCATCAGCAAAATTTTGGCTCGCAGGCTTAGTCTGGTTCTCCCGAAGTTGGTCTCCTCTTTCCAGCAGGCCTCGGTTCGTGGCAGGCAGATCTCGGAGGCAGCGCTGATTGGCTTTGAACTCTTAGACAGCAGGAGGAAAAGTCGCAGGCCCGGGTTAATTTTTAAGCTCGATATCGAGAGGGCCTTTGATTGTGTGAGTTGGGGATGCCTTTTCAGGACTCTTGCTGCTGTGGGCTTTCCCAGAAAATGGTGTGATTGGATTAGAGGGACCATGTGCTCTCCGGTCATTTCGACCATCATCAACGGGGAGGCTAAAGGTTTTTTCAACACAGGGAAGGGCCTTCGTCAGGGAGATCCACTCTCCCCTGGGTTGTTCACGCTTATCATGGAGTTGCTGTCCAGTATGTTGTCTAAACTCAGAGATGAAGGTAAAATCAGAGGGTTCTTCATGAACGATCTTGGTAGGGAAGGGGAAGTCACTCACCTGCTGTTCGCTGACGACACGTTGATTTTTTGCGAAGCTTCCGTGGATCAAGTTCTATATATTCTTTCCGCGCTGGTCTGTTTTCAAGCAGTTTCGGGGCTAAAGATCAATCTCGAAAAATCGATGATGATTGCGGTGGGCGATGTCCCAAATCCGGAGTTCTTTGCTGCTGTGTTTGGGTGTAATTGGACCAGGGATGCCGTGAGATATCTAGGGTATCCGCTCGGGGCCAAAGTTAATTCTGCTACTATTTGGGAGCCGATTATTGAGAAGATGGAGAGACGGCTTGCGGGTTGGAAAGGGCGCCTCCTCTCGCTTGGGGGCAGGCTTGTTCTTAACAGTGCGGTTTTGAATAGTCAGCCGACATACTTTTTCTCGCTCTTTAAAGCTCCTAGAGGTGCTATTCAGAAAATGGAGAAGATTCAGAGAAGATTCATTTGGGGAGGCACGGGAGAGGATCGGAAGATGCCGCTTGTCAACTGGGATCTTTGCAAAGCTTCGAAAGACAATGGTGGGTTGGCCATAAAGGATCTATACTGTGTTAACAAAGCTCTCTTAATCAAGTGGTTGTGGAAATATGCCACCGATCGGGGCAGCTGGTGGAGAGAGCTTATCTCAATTAAATACCCTGCTGATTCTGAGTGGCAAAGCAAAAGATGTAGAAGTGGATTTGGGGAATCTGTGTGGGCTAATATAACGAAAGAATATGATGAGTTCTGGAAGGTGTGCCACATCGATCCTGGTAGTGGGGAATGGGTTTCTTTTTGGAAGGACTGTTGGATCCCAAATCATGTCTTGGCGGATTCTTTTCCAAGAGTTGCTGCCGTCGCTACCGATCCTGACGCCCGGGTGTCGGACCTCGCCAACAATACAGGTATGCACCTTGAATGGAACATTTCTCTTAATTCGACTTTGAGAGGGGGGGCCGAGAGGGAGAGAGTGGATTTTCTTAATCTTATTAATTCGGATGCGGTCAACCTTGTTCCTTGTGGCCCTAGTAGGATTGTTTGGTCCCCCAATACAGATTGTGGTTTTTCTGTTCATCGATTGTACAGGCAGTTAAGTGATAATAGATTCCCAGGCGTGAGAAGCTTTCCGGACAGGTCGGTGTGGCGGAAGTTTGTCCCACACAAAATCAGGGCGTTCATGTGGCTGGTCGCGCACAAGAAGATCCTCACGCTGGATAACCTACAGAGAAGAGGCTGGTTGCTGGCCAACCGGTGCTACATGTGCCACAGTGCGGAGGAGAGCATTAATCACTTGTTGATTGAGTGTGATTTCGCCAAGCAAGTTTGGAGGGGGTTCGGCAGAGTGTGCTCCATTCTTGCCCCGCCGACAGGTGACATTCTTATGGCCATTCAAAGATGGAGCAGCGACCTTCCTGATAACCTTGTTGGATGGATTGGCTTTTGCGCTCTTCATGTGATTAGCTGGCAGGTGTGGCTCGAAAGAAACAGTCGTGTTTTTAGAGACAGATGCCTTGGTGTTGCTGATGTTCTTAAGAAAGCCCTTCTGCTCATTGTTGACAACCTGATCGCTCACGGAAAGATAAGCAGGGAGGAGGGCATGGGATGGATGTTGGATGTGCGTCGCAGCTTGGATCCCTCCTACGGCTTCGCTTTGATGCAGTGACGCGTGTTGGGTGGATCGGGATGGATTGTTTTGGTTGGAGCTGTGCTGTTTAATCAGCTTGATTGTTCTGTTCTTTTGTTTTATCTGTTGTTCGTTACCTTGTTCATTGTGGCTGGTTTTGGGCTTCCACTGCAGCGCTGTTGGTTTTTTTTTATGTTTCTTGCTTGCTGCACCTCTTGTGCAACAACTGTATAAGACTATGTTTCTTTTCACTGTTTTCTTTAATGCATTCCTCACCTTCATCAAAAAAACCAGGTATAAGCAACTCATGAAATTATCAAGGAAAAGAAACAGAACAGATTCCTCAATATGAAGAACACCCATAAGCTTCTGGTTGTCTTCTTGTTAGCTTTCTTGGTAATCGCATGTACATAATTTTCCATCACGAACTACTCCTGCCATGCTTCAGTTTTTTGCTTTCTTGCATTGCATTTGGCAACCAAAAGAGTAAAGACTACCAAATAGATTTAGTCACCGCTCGCAATTGGCGACGGGCTAGTATTATTTATTTGGGTTTCAAACGATTGCAAACCATGGAGTACATAAATTTTATAATGCCGTGCAGGCTAGATACAAATTCGACGGTAGAATTAGGTTGAAATTAGAACAATTCAAGTCGGGTAGAATTAGATTGAAGTTCGAACAATTCAAGTTAGCTCTCATCGTTCATATTTCTGGCTACAGCACTGCCTAATCCGCGTGCATTTCGCAGGGAATGAAGCCGCGACAACGATCATAGGAGGTGGAGGAGGCGGAAAACGATGCAAGGCAGGAACTATACCCAATAAGTGGTCGTACTGCATACCACATGAGTGCTACTATGGGTGTTTCTATAAGTACGACAACTCTAGTTACATCGGTGACTGTGTAGACAATGTTTGTGTCTGTACTGGACCTTGCTAATTAGTTTAAGACTATAATTATGCGCCATATGTTTAGAGGGTGAGAGTTTACATCTAGAGTATCTAATAATTTCTCTGTGTTTATAGTATTTTTCTCAGCCGATCAAGTGCAAGGCCACTAGGGATGGGTTAAATTGGATCGAATTGATCTAGTCTCAATTCGCTTTTTTCGGGAATATAAGAGCCAAAGATTGGATTGGATATAGTTCGGTCTTGATCCGGTTCGGTCTTGACCCTGTCCGGTTCTAATTCGGTCTTGATTTTAGATTGAAGTTGTGGGGATTTGAGTGAAACTTCATTCATTTTTCAGTTTAATTAAGATTTTTGTATGGCAAAATAATAAATTTATTTTACTAACAGTCAACAGCATAATTATATTATTTCCATAAGATCCAAAATCCAGCCTTTTCCCCCTCTCTCTCTCTCTTTCATTCATGGCAGGTTCTTCAATAACATATATACAAAATCCAGCCTTAACTAGCATGCAAAGAGATTTACTTCCCTTAATTAGGAGGCAAGTGAATTACTATAAATTCGTATCCAACGAAGGCTAATCAATAAAGACTAATAAATCCATACAAAACAAGAAGAAGAAGAAGAAGAAAATGAACGCCGCCGCAGTAGCATTACTACTAGCCCTCACTATCACAACCACCACCACCGTCTTAGCTGCACCAGCACCCGACGCCGGCGGCGGCGAACAAGCCGATGGCATGGCTCCGACGAAGTGGAAATTGTGGTCGTACGAGCACGTCCACATCAGCAACGAGCTGGGGTCCAACGCGGCCATGACGGTGCACTGCACGTCGTTCGAATTGTTCGGCAAGAAGGACGACATGGGGGTCCAGCACGTGGCGGCCGGGGCGGAGTACAAGTGGCAGTTCAAGCCGCCGCTCGTGTTCGGCAAGAGCAAGTACTGGTGCGTCGTGTCACCCGTGGACAATGACGTGGCGGCGGGCCCCCCGGTCCACGCTGGCTTCTTTGCTTACGATGAGGATGACAGGTCCATCTTCGACACCAACTTCAACGTGTACTGGGCGGTTAGGCCCGACGGCGTCTACATGAGGGACGTGTCCGGGGGAATCGGGGATTTGTTGAAATCCGTGTGGATTCCTGGAAATCCTTAGAATGAATGCTTTTTTTTTTGTCAATTAAACTGAAAAATGAATGAAGTTCTTGGTTTTCGAAGTCTTTTGTCGTTTCTCCGCCAAGATTTTCTATTGAGCTTGCTATCATTATCTCCATTAAACTTAGAGATACAGCTTAGCAAATGCATTGGTTTTACTCATGATTACTCCCACAATCCCTAGGAAAATGGTTGATGTGACTTGAATCGGACTATCAGCCGCTACGACTAGTAATAGGGAATCTCGCTGTCCGATCAGCGAGTGGGGTCCAGGGGCAACGTCCCGGTGGGGGTGCGGGGACAACGCCCCCGGCCCGCGGTGTACGAGCTCAATGTTATTTGGGTTCGGGTTCTGGGCCTGATCCGTAATCGTTTCCTTTGTCAGATTGGATTAGGTTTAGACCCACATGGAGAAGTACTATAAATACTTCTCATACTCCTCTGTAATCTGTAATTTCCTTCATATAGTGAAACTAGCTCTCTCTCACCCGTGGACGTAGCTAACACACATCGTGTTAGTGAACCACGTAAATCGTATGTCGTGTTTTCAATTCTCGCTTTCGTATTCTTGCTTTATCGATTCCGGCGATTTCACGATTCGTAGCAACGCGTTTATAAAAAAAACAATTACTTTCTGCTCCGAAGATGCAGCCACTACTTTTGGGCTAGCTTCACACGAAAGCATTTACCGATCTCGATTAATAAAACATCTCCGTGTCATTTGATTTAATATGATTTAATGTCTAGGTTCAAGGCTTTATAATGGACTTTCCAAAACAAACTAAACAACTTATTTATTTCCTCCTCAGCAACTAATAGACAGATTATAATAGTTCAACCACCCAAAAATAGTTCAAATGGAAATGTGTCTTTAATTTTCTTCCCTTTTTAAAAGAATTGGACATGTGTTAATAATTATTAAACAAAATTCAAATTATAATTTAATACATATATCTTTTTCGAGTTAAATATAATGGATGAATTGAAATACCATATACATATATTTTTTGGTATATATGCAAAGTGTATCTTATTTCATTAATGGTGGATGTAGTACTTATCCTAGAGCTTTCTAGCAAGTAGCAACCCATTCAATATAATTAAATATATCACTTTAGAATTTGTAAATCCAACATTAATGTAATTTGATTCTTTACTAGTGGACTAGTGCTATATACATTTCCTAATTATTTAATTATGAAGATCTCCAACGTGTTCCTTCTCCTTTTACTGACATTTCTGGTGGCAAATGCAACAACAACGAGCAGTAGAACTGACGGTGGAGAATATTGCCAGATAGGGGCGGCAGGGGGTTTTGCTGAATGCACTGCAGCAATATGCAACGACCTATGCAACGTCAAATTTCAGGGTGAGAAAAAGCCAGTTATTGGTGGGTGTGATTCTGAGCTATGTATTTGCTTAAGTCCATGTTGATCATCATTAACAGTGTTATCTTAAACTTTATTACTGCAGTAATAAAAAATGGGGATTATAACTAATTTTGGTGACTTTTACTTATTGGTTTGTGCTATAATCCGTGACGAGAGATCAATTTTTTCTTTTTTCTTCCAAAGGTATCCCACAAGATGAGAGATAGCAAGATACGAAATATAAGTACAAGATCTTTGCAGGTCAATTCACAAAAGATAAATAAGGAAGAAGCGTCGAACAATCCAACGACAAGAGAGTTTTTTTTTTGCCACAACGAGAGATCAGTTATTGCTGCCGCGACTCCCCCAAATTAGCACAGTAATAAACTATATCCAGAATAATTGTTTCCTTTATACGGATTTTCTTGGGAGCAGATCGATCGAGTGCATAGCCCCAAAGCTATACATCATTTTGTACAAACTCAGGATTTTAAATTTTACTTGTTCAAAAGTTAGATTAATATGTTTTACAAGACAATATATGATACGATATATTTCTGAACAGAAAAATTTGTTAATCGATACATTTTTTATTTTTGCGGATTAACCCACAAACTAATTACAAATTTACAATCACCCGCCATCCAATTCAAAAAAATAAAGATAGGGGTTACAAATATACCAACTCGTTAATAAGCCGAGTGGTAATTAAGTTTGCTATCCTACAAACGGTGCCCGCTAAATATGATCGTCCAAATATAGCAAAGACTATAAAAATGGGGGAAAAAACTAAACAGAATGTATACAAAATATCTAAATTCAATACTTTATGATGGACTTTCCAAAAGAAACTAAACAACTTATTTATTTCCCTTCCAAGGCGGTGGGATTAGTCTATAAATTCGCTGAAGCTTAGACAAATCATTCATTTCTCCCCAACAACAAATAGACTGATTCTTATGATCTTATCATATATATACAGAACAACAATGAACGCCGCCGCCGCACTAATTATCACCGCCGTTTCAACAATTCTAATATCGGCTCCATCTCCGGCGACAGCAGCCATCCGCACCATTACCGGACAAGCCGATGACGTGGCACCGAAAATCCTCAGCTTGTGGAGGCCGTACAAGCAAAAAAGAAACTCTAGGGAACTAGGTCTCAAGGGCAGCTAGCCTTAAGCCGGGACATAAGCATTTACCTAGGGCTGGCAGTTTGGTCCAGAACTGTTTGGTTTTACCCGAAACCGGATCATATAATCCGATTTGGGATCGGATTGGGACCGGATAGCAAGCAATCCAATCTCATATTTGGGCTTAAATTTGAGGTAAAAATACCAGGATAAAGACCAGATAAGAGACCCCAACACTCAAATCCTCGCAAGCTCAATATAAAATCAAAATTAAATTGGGACCGGACCGGGTCAAGACCGGACCGGAGTGTATCCAATTCAATTTTTGGTCCTTATATATTCCCGAAAAGAACGGACTGGACCTGATCATTTTGGTCCAATTTAACCGGACCGGACCGTATAGATTTACCGATCTCAATTAATAAAAACATCTCCGTGTCATTTCATTTAATATGTTTGATTATAAACTTTGCCGCACTACACATCGACCATACACTTCTAATGGGAAAGCATAATATCTGGATCAAAATTACTATTGGCTAGTAGCTACAGTGTAATGTCCATTAAATGTCGAATGCAAGTTATAATTTATTAATTGGATCAAAATTACTTAA